CCCCCCCCCCGCTGCAGCAGCCTGTGGCCAGGCTGCTATAAGGCTATGCCTGCTGCTGTTCTCCATTTGGGGGCCTGAGCCCTGTTAGCACCCCCTTTCCACCACCTGTGGATCCAATCCCAAAATACTGGATTTTTTCTGAGAGGAAGACCTAGTTCTTGCATTACAAAATGCCATGCTCCCCTTGCCAGGTACTGTATTTACTAAAATCCAGGACAGAGTTCCCCCTCATTCAGCATGGGGGCAGGGAGCCTTTTGTCTTGGATTTGAGTACAAGATAGGGGCAGGGACAGCTGGCTCCAGTCCCAACACTGGCTTGGAGTTGAAGCTACAGCTGCTGCCACCTCTGTCCCCTGCTGCCTGCAAAGGCTAGTGTTCCTTCAAGGTGGCTGTGGGTGCATTAGATGCAGTAATACAACAAAATCTCTGACTACCACTTTGACCAGGCATAGAACGTCATGGCTACAACCCACATGCATCTCCAAAGAGATACAACAGATAGTTGATTTATTATTGGAGAGAGTGGAACTGCTGAGCATGTACACTGGTGAAGTGTTGTACTCCTTCAAGGATTCTACAGTATCCACAAGGCATTTGTACACCAGCTGCAAACTACATGCTCTTTTAAAAATCAGAGGTAATATAGGCAGAGAACATCTTTCTGCTTGCAAAGCTGACCCTTTGACATCTGGCTAGTAGGAGGTGTTTCAAATGTGTCTTCCTTATTTTTGTTCTAATGTCAGTCATTTACCTGCTTTTAGATAGCAGATTTGATATAACTGCTGAGAACCACAGCCAAACCTGTCAACAACAAACCTCTTCCTTTTTTGATGCCATTTTTTTTCTTGACAGACAGGTGGGTCATGGCACATGGCTATGCTGTCCAGTTTCAGTTATTACTCTCTAGCTCCCTTTTTGCTCCCTCTTGTTTGGACTCTTCTCATAGATGCTAATCAAAATAAGATGTTATGTCTCTACTTTTCCCAAAGAGCACAGAGCAGGGGGGACTTCTACTCCAAGTATTTCCTTATCCTTAAGAGGGTGGTTCTCTGTCCTGCTTTGTATCTGAGAACACTGAAAATGTATTATGACATAATCTGATCCAGGATGATAATATTGTTTCCATCACGCTTTATGGCTGTCAGTGTATGGGGTGCATTATAATCCAGGGTTCCCTATGGGTCCATGGCCCTACACTATAGATCTGGCATGCAGGGTGGCATGGGGCCCTGGAGCCCAGGTGGCACATGCTTCAGAGGCTGACTCCCCTCATGGGGCTGGGTGGCAGTGATGGGCCCCAGAGCCCTGATCCCAACTTGTGGGGCTGGACAGAGGGATCACGGGGTCTGGGGCCTTAATCTTAGTGTGGGGAGGGGGCAGTTGGAAGTGGTGTGGAGTCTGGTGGGCTCTAATCTCAGCACAGGGGTGCTGTACAGGGTCTTGGGGCCCAGGGCCCTAACCCTGGCATGCAGGGCCCCAATCTCAGTATGGGTGGGTTGTGGTCCTGGGTTGCGGAGCCCAATTCTGGCATACATGACTGGGTGGGGGCAGCATGGTCCAGATCTGAGCATACTAAGCATTTACTATTCATAGGGAAGCCTATGTCTGCCAATGCTAAGTACCACCATTCATTTTCTCCACCATGCTGAGAATTTTTAAATAATGTTTATTTAATGTGCTGGGAACACATTTGAGTGGACAAGGCATTTGCATTGACCCAAGGTAGTGACTGTTAATAAAAGGTCGGCAGCCCAGTAGGTGATCTCTGCAGCTCTGAACTGTGCTCTTCAGCTCTTTAACCAGTTATACCCCTTAGTAAACTACAGAAAATCATCCCTTATTCTATCACAGATGATAGCATTTACAGAAGCTCTGACTCCCCGTCAGCAAAGACATATCTCCCTGAAGACAATTTCTGATCACTGCAATCACTTCGGGCCATTATCAAACTGTGCACACACCTCTGAGTGATGGGCCACATGTCAGCTTGCATTTATATGATGCTGTTTGCTAGACTTCACCTGAAGGCATTTTTATCCTGGCTAAGGTTGGTCTGTTCTACAAAACCCAAAATAAGCGGCAGAAAAGTGGTCAATACAGGGTATACTGTGATCCGTAGACAATTGCTTTAATCGAGGAAACGGAGCCAGCTGGATTGTCAAGAGTCTGTTCTTAAAAATAACGTGACTCAGAAATATCCTGGACCTGTAGCAATCAGACCAGTTCGCAATATATTATATGGAAGAGGAACACAAATACAATACAAATACATCATTATGTATAACAGAAAGATGCTGTTTAAAGAGACTTTCACATTGCCAGCAAGGCCACTAGCTTTTCGTCTTCTGAGAATCAACAACCTAGCAGCCAGGAAGCGTAAAGTTTGAGGGGGCAGTATTGCGATCAGTATTACGATCACTGTTCAGCTGGATCAGGTCAGTCAGGATTCTTCAGTCTTTCTCTCCACAGGGATAGGGCTTCCTGTCAGCCATTAAAAGCAAGGGTGTCAAACTCAAATTGATTGGAGGACCGCATCCAGAATTTTTCACTAAAATTTATTTCCTCAGTTACCTCTGTTTAAACTTGGCAGCGCACCCTTTTTTGGAAAACATCAAGAGCAGTTTTCAGCATATACCAATTTTAAAGTTTGTAGATGTATACACGTTTGTTGCAAACAGGTCTGCAGATAGGTGAAAATGACTTATTTTCAAGAAGCATTTGCTACAGCTCCTATAAAAAAAAAAAAAAAAAAAAAAAAAAAAAAAAAAAGAAAAAAAAAAAAAAAAAGAAAAAAAAAAAAAAAAAGAAAAAAAAAAAAAAAAAGAAAAAAAAAAAAAAAAAGAAAAAAAAAAAAAAAAAGAAAAAAAAAAAAAAAAAAAAAAAAAAAAAAAAAAATGAAGAGAACATAAGGTGAGTTAAAAACAATACTTCAGATTTTTAAAGCGTGGCTGTCATTGACTCCAGGTAGAGCTGTTAGTGCTGGGTCTTAGCTGTAAGTCAGACCTAAGCCTCAAGTCAGACACCTTAGTTACATAATGAAGGTGGGGCAAGCAGGATACGAGCCCTGGGTGCTGGCTATGATGCCAGAATCGCCTCTGGGAGTCTTTGCCACATGATTGACAGCCCTGCTTATGATATCGTGATATGTATTGAAGGGGAGGGGATGGGAAAGAGCAGCAAACAGTGCACTAGGTTTGGCCCCCGGGGAGCCTGGTCACAGGGTTGCTGCTGCCAGAGCAGAGCTGATGCTGCTATAGCAGAGGCAGCAGTAGCCTGGGAAGGTAAGCCTTCCTTTCCATTCACTCACTTGTACAGTGGTTGGAATACTCCTGCCCTGGATGCTCAGTGAGATCACTATGCCTCTGAGAAAATGAGGAACATAAATTAATGACCACCTGTGCCTAGTTGATTGCTTATTTGTTTTTTAGGCACCTGAAATGGCAGATTCCACCATGTGACATATTGACACCTGTATCATCAATCCCTAATCTCAGCACTCTGTTCAGTAAGGCTGAGCATTTAAATCTGCCACACAGACTTATATCACTTGTGCTTATGGACTAACTAAAGGATTAGTAGGTTATCATCCATCCACTGGTGGAACCAGCACTCAGGGCCATAATCTCCCTTGCCATTGATGTTTTCTGGCAGTGAAGGAACTGGAAATCTTAATATTAGATTCCAGGGGCAGAAGCAAGATATGGTTGCTCCTTTCAAGTTTGTGTCCTCTCCTCACCACTCAGTCTTTGAATCAGGCCTGTATTTTCCATTACAGTGACTCCTTATCCCAGTCCTATTCTGAAAGATAGCCTATATTGTGTCATTTTGCTCTTCACAGTAGTCTCTCTTTCCTGCCACCAGATTGTCTCCCAGATATTGATTTGTTTGTCCCCGCCCATATTTGCTGTTCCTGTAGACTCCTGATCCTAAACTCTCACCATGGGCTGTTTCTTCAGTTTCAGGGTCCTATGCATCTCTGCTGTTCCTTAGTACTCAGTACCTTTTGCCCAACCAGTCTCAATTCTCCCACCATGCCTTGTCGCATAGCCCCTACTCTTCATCCAGTCTACCATTAGTTTCATTTCTTACCAATCACGTGCCTACCTTCTTCCCCCTTCCTAGTCCAAATTTTTTTCTTTCTCCCTTCCCCCCACCCTTCCTTTGCAGATCTGCTTTTCGTCCCCTCTGCATTCAAATTGTTCAGCATTCTCCTACTCTCCATGGCTTGGATCCAGGAAGGGAATCATTGAAAACAAGGGGCGATAGTCTCCCTGTTCCTGTTTCACATGCCTGGACTCAATACAGCCCATGGTAATCCAGTGCAGCAACTGTAGGATAAATTCTCTTCCTCTCCTTGCTAGAACACTGTGCAGTGCTTTGCTATTTAACTCCTCGCACTGTAATTGTGTATGAAACAGTGAAAATAAATAGAATTGGGAACTCGAACAGAAATGAGAATTGCTTTTAGAATAAAAATCATTAATTTGTTTGGTTCTGTGAGCATTTTTTTTCACTTAGTTGGTTATTTTTCCTCTAGGTTTGGCTGAGATAAATTATATGCATGAGCTTCTTTCAAACATGGTTCACAAAAGGTGAGTTGAAATAACCAGTAATAAAATAACCGCTCAAGTATTTCTATATGCTTAGTTCTAGTGTGATTATACTAAATTTGTTAAGTACAACATTAATCCTTCAGCTATGTCAGTTCCTGTCCCAAAATATGTGTATCAGGTGATTATGCCTTTAAATATTTTAGAATTGCTGTGGGGCACTGTACAAATATTTCACCAATTACATTTTGTGTAGGCTGCAAGTGTATCCACTCCATTCAAGTGTGACTTTAGAAGAACAGAATAATGTGTTTTTGACTCCTGTTCCTGGCTACAGAAAGGTACACCAATATTAAACCGTAGGTATTTTTTAAAAATAAAAACAGAAGATAATTTTGGTGAAAAAACATGTATCATATTCCAGTTTTGTTTAGATGTCAACTGATGACCTTTCTACTAGGGTAAGAAATCATCCCTCAATTTACAGCTGTGGCCATAGTTTGCTGGCCACAGCTAGACAGATGCTGTATACTGTATAGAAAGTGAAGAAACGTGCATACCTGAAAGTGTGTTTTTCTAATCTTTCAAAGACAACAGTGAGCAGTGTCCTGCACATGGATGACAGTAATATTCTACACGGGAAGAGGAGTTTACCAGCATGGTGCATGCTCTGCTGGATGGTGTTCTGTATTTGCTCAGTTTAGAATCTTGTTTGTTTGTTTTCCAGATTTGGTAAGAGTATTATAGTGCTATAGCAGTAAATATATGTACCAAGAAACTATCAGGTTCTTTTCTAGGTGTTTTCATTACTATAGCACTCCACCACTAGAAAAAGAAAAATTAAATCCTGTAACACCATTTGATGTCTGGACATAAAATATGACTCTTCAGAATTTGCCCAGAGGGAGTTGAACTTCTTGCATCTAAATATATGCATAATTATGAGTAGATTCTGCTTTGCATGCTTACTTTTTCCCCCCTTTTTGCACTTTAACTAGATTATTCTGTCTACAAACATAGCTGAGAGTTCTTTAACAGTGCCTGATATTAAATATGGTGAGTCTTCTACATAATAAATAGGAATATGTGCAATATTTTCTTGCTTTGTACCTGTATATATTTCTCCCCCCATTATTAACTAAAAAGGTCTTCATCATCCTGTTTACTGTGTGCAGCAGCTATTTTGTCAATAAGATTCCTAGCCCTCTACCTCAAAGTATGGGTGTTCCTTTCAACCTCTGAATATTAATAGGATAAAATATTGATATACTCTGGCAAAAAATGCTGTAAAAAAGTGGCTGGTACTATTGATACATTAAGCACCCAGCTCAATCAGTTTGTCTTTAAAACTTAGTAACTTGGAGCAGAGTATTTATGAGAAACCATGATTGCAGAATGGGGGGTGGAGGGGTTGCCAGTGTTTGGTTACAGATACCAAAGAAAATGCAAAGGCACAACCTAAAATTATTATCGGGTCAACCCAGTTCCCCATATATTTTTGAGAAGCAAATTTTCATATGAAAGAACTCAATCAGGAAGAACATCCAAATACAGAAGTGATTGTCTTTTGTATGTTTATCCTTCAATATGCGTTAAGTTTCTATTATATTTTATATAAGCATCTAAATCTTAGTTTGGAGTCATGTACTTCAGGTATCAAGTGCAATTTTACATATGTAGTTACCCCACCGTCTTTGAAGGCATTAGTTTTTTGTTTGAGATTTTCCTTTGTGGCTTCACAAAACCAGCCAGTGTCTGCATTGTACAAATTACTCCCCTCTGCAGTACTTTAATTAATTAATGTATTGTATGTTTTAAAATTTGCAGTTATTGACTTCTGTTTGACCAGAACACTGGTTTGTGATGAAGGCACTAAATATCAGAGCCTGAGACTTTGCTGGGCTTCTCAGACTAATTGTAATCAGAGAAAAGGTAAGGTAACAATAGTTGTTTCCATAGGAATTTCCATGTTGCTTTTGAGACTTCAAGGAAAAAAGGGCGAGTTATGTGGTTTAACTTACACTTACCCTCGGATAAAAATATGTATATGATCAGTCAAAACAGAATAGCAGATCCATGATAAATCTCCACCTTTTTTATCCTGTAGTTCAGGGTTCAGCAAGCTGTGGCCCATGGGTGTGGGGCTTTGACTGCAGACGTTCTCCCTATGCTGCTGCAGGGATGAGAGCCAACAGTGGATTGCTCTTAACACCTGGTTATTGGCTGTGCCCCAAACTGGGTCAATCCCTCCCACAGCCTAAAAAGATGCCAACCACTTGTATGGTAAATTGTTCACATTTTCTCAGGAGATATTTCTTGTTAATTAAAGTATTTATTCTATGATAATCTTGTATATTATCTTAAAACACTGCAAATTATGCAGAGCTTCATAGATTATAAGGGACTGGAATGGACCTTGCAAGATTATCAGATCCAGCCCCCCTGCACTAGGCAGGAAAGACAGCTGAGGGTAGGTGGCCTCAGTGAATTGATCGGCCAGTCTCCTCTTGAAGATTTCCAGCGTATGTGATTGCACCACCTTTCCAGGGTATGTGATTGCACCACCACTGAGGGAGTTTATTCCACAGTCTGGACACCCTGGCTATGAAGAAGTTTTACCTAGTATTAAGCCTGAAATGGTCTTCCATGAGTTTGTGGCCGTTGCTCCTGGTTTTCCCCAAGAGTGCCCTGGTGAACAGTTGTTTGCTGAGCACTTGATGTATTTCCCTGATAAAGCGTGTGGCGGTGAGGTACCACCACAGGCTCCCGAAGGGGAGAGGGTAATGCCTGTGGGCCCCAAACCCTGGAAGCAGAACCCCGGCAGGGGTGACTTACCCCCTGCCGGGCAGCCAGAGCAGGAGCCAGGACCACGGCCGCAGCCGTGCGAGCCAGCATTACGCCGGCTGTTTAATCAGCTGTTTCCCTCATGGGGAACACCTGGACCAATTGCGGTACAGCCACCGCGGGAGAGTTGAAAAGTCCCACCGGAACCAGGGGGGGAGGGGGGAGCCAGATAGAGTGAGTGCTGGTGGGCAGCACGTTAGATGCATTGAGGCTCCAGCGCGGAAGGGGAGCAGCACAGCTTGCGCAGCTCCCGCAGGCTATGCAGGGGAAACTTTTGAGCCCCCTGCAGGAGGCAGAGCAGGAGAAGCTGTCCAGCTCCCTGCTGAAGACAACCTGAGGGAAGCCTTGAAGCTCCCTGTAGGGAGCAGGGCAGAGGAAGCATTTGAGGCCCCTGGAGGAGGCTGGGACCAAAAAGGCAGCTCCACAGCCCTCTCCTCCTTAGGGAAGTATTTAGTCTAAAAATTAAAAAAAAAGAGAGATTAAAAAAAAAGGAAAAGGGAAATTAAGGAGCCTGGAGAAGGCGGGCCGTGCTTCGAGGTCAGAGGGAGAAGAGTCATCTGTGTCCGCTTCGGCATGGGACCTCACCTGAGGCAAGCTGCGGGCAACCCTGCAGGGCTGAAATCCCCTCTCTACGAATATCCATCCGGTTGGTGAGTGGACAGGGTGTAGGGGAGGCGGAGCCCCGTGGAACGTCGCGCCAAAATAAAACCGTGAGTATTGCTGTTTGTCGGAAGGCCCTCTCAGGAAGATCTCCACTGAACCCCATCTCTTCATAATTTAACATCAAAGTTGTGGCAGGCAAGTTGAGGGGCAGGGCTACGCACCTGACAGGCTGTGCAACACGTAAGGCCCCAGTCATCACACAGCAGTAGGCTTCTACCAAGTCTTCTCTCAGCCTTTGTTTGTCCAGACTGAAGAGTCCCAGGTCCCTCCGCCTTTCCTCATATGGCTTGCCTTGCAAGTCTCTGATCATACTAGTGGCTCTTCTCTGGACACTATCAAGCTTTCCTACGTCCTTGTTGAAGTGTGACACCCAGAACTAGATGCAGTACTCCAGCTGCGGTCTCACCAATGCTGAGTAAAGCGGAAGAATCACTTCCTTGGTTTTGCTTGAGATGCATCGGCTAATGCATGCCAGAGTATTGTTTACTCTGCTGGCTACAGCACTGCACTGATGGCTCATGTTCGTACTATGGTCTGTTATTTACCCCTAGGTCCCTTTCAGTTGTGGTGCTGGTCAACATCTTTCAAATAATATTTGGTCTTATTAAATGCTATAAATGAAGTGAAGAAGGGAAAAGCACTAGCATCAGATGGGCTACTAGTGTTTTATCAACATCTTCAGACATTTAACTGTTATGCCTCTGGTAGTGTGTGCTGCTACATATACATACGTATAGTGAAGAGGATTTACCTTAGTCCATGAAGGAGGACCTTATTTCCTTTATGGTTAAGTCAGGGAAAGAGCCACAACAATGTAGATCATAGAATCATCGAAAATTAGGGTTGGAAGAGACCTCAGAAGGTCATCTAGTCCCAACCCGCTGTTGCAAACAGGACTATCTCCAACTAGATAATTCCAGCCACGGTTGTGTCAAGATGGGCTTTAAAAGCCTCCAAGGATGGAGATTCTACCACCTCACTGGGTGTAACCTGTTCCAGTGCTGCTTAGAGGGTGTTTTTTTTTTTTTTTTTTTTCCTAATATCTAACTTAAGTGTCCCTTGCTGCAGCTTGAGATCATTGCTCCTTGTTCTGTCACCTGATACCACTGCGAACAGTCTAACTGCATCCTCTTTGGAACCCCACTTCAGGTGGTTAAAGGCTGCTGTCAGTTGCCTCCTCAAGTCTTCTCTTCTCCAGACTAAATAACCCCAGTTCCCACTGCCTCTCAAGTCATGTGCCTCAGCCCATGCATACATACCTATCACCAATTCAAGCACATGTACACTATACCAGAGATTGGAGCAGGGCCAGAACCATAGTAAAGCAAAACCCAACTCAGGGGTCCAAATAACAGTTTTATTAAACAGACAACACACTACACAGCCCCATGAAGTTATTGGTTGACACGCGCACTCACAATGGAACCAACTTCCAAGGGAAGTGGTGCTCACTCCTACCCTGGGGGTCTTCAGAATGAGGCTAGCCCAGCATTCTTTCCTGCCTATGACAGGTCGGACTTGATGATCTGCTCAGGTCCCTTCCAACCCTACCAACTATGAAACAATGGCAGCAAGAGAAAGAGACTCTGGGGGGGGGGG